CAAGAGGCGGAAGATATCGACGCTGCGAGAGGTGTCAGAACGTCCGAGTGAGTCTTTCTCCTCTCTCCCCCCTCTCTCTCCCTCTGTCTCTCTCTGTCTCGTCTAATTCACAATTTTTCAGTGCCACCGCTACAAGGCCTCTCCACCCTCCCGAATGGCATGGCTAACGGCTCGGCGACGTCGTCCAGCGCCCCCTCACCGCAGAACTCGTTACCGAAGTGAGTGTCAGTAGAGAGAAAGAGAGATAGAGAGAGAGCGAGAGAGAGAGAGATAGAGCTAGCGAGATAGAGAGAGTGAAAAACGAATCCCTGCTAACCTGCCCATTTGCAGACACGCCGATGAGCTTGTCACCTGGCTGCGAAGTCTCGATGTAGATGACCATTCTATCGCCTGCATCATCAGAGAGGGCTACACAAAGCCGGACATCTTGGAGTACGTCGGCAGGGAGGAGCTGAGGCAGTGTGGCGTTGCGTGAGTTTTCCTAACCTCTTCCTAAAAAACCTTTGCTAGTTTTCCCTGTTCCATAGCTGGGCTGAACTGCTTGAACTTGAGGGATTTTTTAAGAAAGGCGGTATTTTCCTAAGAGATCTCTGCTAGCTTACCTTCGCTAAGACAGGGTTGGACTCATTGAAATCATGCAAATTCGCTAGTTTTTTTTGCAAGGAAAGCTGCAGCTGAACGCCTTGAACTCTTTGGAATTCCACATCTCGTATTTCACATATTTCTTACAAACACACCTCGAATTTTCAGAGGCGGCGCCTCGTGTCGAATCCTGCGAGCCTGCCAGGAGGCGCGGTCGCGTCGCGGGCACGTCTTACTATCACCGCCCTTGAGGTCCCGCGACGATTCCCTCGACGACTACCATTCTTCTATGGCAGATGACGTTACCACGGATGTTCAGTACCACCATTAGACCGCATAGGTTTAAAGGGACCACGACAGCAAGCGCAATTTTTTTCAAAAACCGTCATTTTTTGTGAATATAATATTGCTTGAACTTGTTAAAGTCGCTGCAAATTCCCCCCAGGTAGAAATTCGACTTTAAAGGGGCTTGGAAGGCAAAAATATGTAAAAAACTCGGCTACGGTAGGGTTTTGGCAGCTTTCCAAAATGTTCCGCAAGCCTTCCCCGTCCCTTTAAAACGGCTATAAAAACAATTTTCTTTTCGCTAGACTTGCCAAAAAACGTCCCTCCCATAGATTAAAGGTATTAGCAAGGCAGTACATTACTATGGATTTTGTTAGTCTAGATTTACTGTGGATCTTCCCGCGGCGCGACGCGCAGCGCGCCACCACCCGCAAAGCGGCACGAAACGCGACGCGAGAGCCGACGCGACGAACTAGCGAAGCGTCGCGAAACGTAAAATGGAACGCGCTACACAACGCGAAACTTAACGCGACGCGACACGCAACGCAGAGCGACACGTAACGTAATGGGCCCGCAATCTACGTCAAATTCCACGCGTTGCGTATCGCGACAAAATTTGGAAAATTGGGCGAAAATCCAAAGCTAACAAAATCCATAGTCACTGCCTTGCCGGTTCCTTTAAAAAGCGACACGTGGTGCTTGCGTACGGCCAGCTTTTGTATTTTCATCCTAATGATCGATTTTTAATGCTTAATTATGATTTTTCATCTAGCTTTGACTAGGTTTCTCGTTCACCCATCTAGATCGATTCGAGCAATTTTTACGTTTTTTAAAGCGCATCTGTGAATACTACTACTGTAATCTACCGTATTCCCCTGATAGTCTTGTATTTATGTATTTTTTCCGTTGTCTTAAATATATGCAAATCACCCCTAAAAAATGTATTAACGGTACTGTGTATTATACTTTTTCGATTTTTTAGCTATTGCTGAAGGCTGTGATTCAATTCCCCCTTGACAGGGTTACGGTAACGATGGGCTACTGTATACCCCACGCGAAAATATGCAAATTTTGCCCCCCACTGGTTTATGCTTCAAATACTACGGTAGTTGTGATGACTTGTATACGTTTTGTATGACTGCGGCTTACTGTAGAGCTGATAAAAATTTATTGAAAAAATAGGAGTGTTTCGGAAATTACATCGGGGGAAGAGAAAGAGAGAGAGAGAGAGAGAGAGAGAGAGAGAGAGAGAGAGAGAGAGAGAGAGAGAGAGAGAGCGAGAGTCCGAGAGAAGTAGGGAAGGTGAGAAGGAGAGAGCACGGGAGAGCGATAGAGAGAAAGGGTTAGCACGACATAACGAGAGAAGGAGCCCAAGAGAGTGAAGGGGAGAGAGCACGAGAGGGAATAAGGGGAAGCGAGAAAGTACGAGCTACCGAGAGAGAGAGAGATAGGGGGGGGGGGAAAGAGGAGGGGGGAGAGAGAGGGGGGAGGGAAGGGAGAGAGAGAGGGGGGGAGAGAGAGAGAAGAGAGAGAGAAAGAGAGCACGACCCAGCTAGAGAGAGAGAGAACGAAAAAAGAGAGCGAGAGCTTCGTTATCTATTTTTAACGGTGAGCAGCAAGTTTCTGCCGAAGCTGCTCCTCCATCGAGCCCTCGACAGAATCCTAAGAAGTTAGAAAAATGGTTTTTAAATTGTTCCTCACAATTTGCTCGCCATCCTTGATGAAAATAAAAGTGGGCATGACGTTGATCGGGTAGCGGGAGACGATTTCTTCCTGAAAAATTAAAATTATCCCGACTTTAGAGGCGCTAGGAAGTGCGAGAATCGGCCCCCTTGAATGAACTAGGTCTCGACAGCTACGCGACACTCCAAATGCCACTTATGCTAGCTTTAAGGTCTCACTAAAAGCTTGTTATTAGGAGCGTCACGTAGCTGTCTAGGCCTAGCCGTTGACCAGGGTTGATTCTCGGGGTTCTAGCCCCTTTAAGTCCGAAAATCGGAAAAATTTCTTACATTTTCATCAACGTCCACCTTCACGAAGACGATGTCGTTCATCTGGTCGGACATTTTCTAAAAATGCGTGTTTTTCGGGTTTTTAAGATTTTTGGCTGATTTTCAGGGTATTACTGTAATCGAATCTCTGGGTTCCTACCTTTTCTATCCCTTTAGAATGTACTCACGCTAAGCTTGGGCCCCATAATCTTGCACGGGCCACACCACGTGGCGTAGAAGTCGACGACGATCAGCCGGGTGCTGTGGTCCTCGAGCAGCTTCTCGAATTCGTCCTAGAAGGGGGCGTCGAAGTTTGGTTTTACGTTTTGGCTTAGGCCTCGGCTTAGGATTAGGCTTAGGCCTAGGCTTAGGCTTCGGCTTAGGCTTCGGCTTCGGCTTAGGCTTCGGCTTAGGCTTGGTCTAGGCTTGAGTTTCGCTTAGGTCGGGCTTAGGCTTAGATTTAGATTTGGGCTTAGGTTTAGGCTTAGGCGTAGGGCTCTGACATAGGCTTGGCTTAGACGTGGGCTTGGGTTTGGATAAAAGGCCAAACGAAGATAAAATAACCTCTGCTCGTTGCCCTTTGGCCAGAGTTCCCATTCTCAACCCACCAAATCTTCCGGCTGCAGCACCACCATTTTTCTCGAGCTCAAGGCAGGAAGTCCCAAATACACCCAAAAACACTTGGGGCAAAAAGTGATTTGGTGAGCTACCGGTGGTGGGCCAGTCACAATTAGCGGCGTTGCCCGGGTAATTCTTCACACAATTCGGGCTTTTCCCCTCCCTTCCAAATTAATTAGCAGCTGTGGGAATACCGACCCGATTCGCGTGAGAGGCCCAAATTTGGGGAATTTTTTGGGAGGAAAAATTTCGGGCCCAAAATGCCTGATTGTGGCCGCCAAGAGGGGTGACAATGTGAAAATAGAGGGGTCGAGGGGGAGTGACTTCAAAAGAAAAACAAATCACGCGAGAGACTGTCGATTTTAAAGGGATGGGCAAGGCAATATAATCTATGCCTGGCCCGTCCTCCGCCCGCCCGCCTGCCCGTCCGACCGGACGCTGCGGGACCCCTAGACCGTTCGACGGGTCCGGGGCCCGGGGCGTTTTGGGATTTCGGGATTCGGTGTATGGGAGTTGTTTCCCCCCGGGGCCGCGCTGAACCCCCGCGGAGCGGGGGGTCAGCGCTGGTGAATATTTATATTTTTTTTTATTACGGCGGCGCTTGTTCATTAGCGGGGGGGAGTTTCAGGCCGAAAAAGCGTTTTCCTAGGTCCTGGAATAAAAGATAACCAAGTTTTTGAAGGATTTACACGGGATTTAGACAAAAAACAGCTGTGCCGAAAAGTGGCAAATTTCAAAGTATTGGCATCGCGCCAAAAATTTACGAATCCGGATTTTTCAGGTCCATTTCATAACCGTGACGGCAATCAAGTGACTTCTTTTTCACTTCCCGATGATCCCGATCGATTTGATCCCCTTCCTAAAATGGCTAAAAATGTCCACAATTTTTATAAAATTTCAAAGCTGTTTTGGGCGTCGAGGCCTCGCGCGGGCCAGCGCCATCCGGCTCCCTCGCCTAAAGCCTGCCCCAGCCACAGTACCCGTGCTGCTTTTCGGGCCACCCCGACGGCCCTCCTTTTCATCATAAACCCTAGCCAAAGCATATATTATTTGAATTTTACGTTGATTTTCTTGCGATTTTCTTGGTTTTATGCTTTTTTACGCTGCGCAAAATGATCAGCATCGAGAAAAACGCATTCGGTTGCGCCTAAAAGCTCCTGGCTCTGAAATTTTGGGCCTCAAAATTGCCGTCAAAAAGTCGATACTCGCCTTTTTGTCGTTTTCCTGACTGTATTGTTGTAATTTGAGACTTACAATGTTTTCCGATGGTTCACAGCTTGATTTCCCCTGTTTTGACGCCTTTCGGTGAACATTTCGCGTTTTAGCCACTAAAAACACTTAGATTACTCGGCCTAAAGGCTTTTGACCCAAATACACATTTTTTGATTGCAATATTACGTTTAGAAGAGCTCATTGTTTTCACTAAACTTTATTTTCTTGGATTTGGCTTGCATAACCTCCTTTTTCCAGTGTAACCCGATCAAGTACAACTGCCTGGCCCTGAGCATCGTTTCAAACAACAAGATGGTCGACTTAGACGTGAACAAGGAGAATGAGGAGGTAGAGCCCTCGTTCGACGATCCAGAGGACTTTGAGGATGATATCGCAGATGAAGGTATAAACTTTTAGGCAAGAAAACCTTTTTGTTTATTTTAGAACTGCTCGGCGACGTGCTAAAACAAGAGCCGCTCATCGACGAGTACGAGGAGAACTGCCTGATCCTCTTCGGCCTGCCCATCGTCAACAAAGAGAAGTTCCCAAAGTTGCAGGTAAGATTTTTCAGAATTTTCTGATTTATTTTTTTTAGGCCGTCGTCGCGAAGGTGCTCAACGGCATCAACACGAGCAACAAGGTCGAGTACCCGGTCGATGCCGATGGGAATACAAAGGTAATTTTCTTTTTTTTGTTTGAATTAGTGCTGTTAAGGGTTGTCTCTTCGTCGAATGGGAGAGCAAAGATGTTGCCCAGTACGCCCTCACCGTCCTCAACGGCTACCGGCTCGACAAGAACCACGCGTTTTCGGCCATTTCGGTGGGATCAGCTCTATAATTTTTTTACGAGAATATCCGATTCCAGATCGCCGACATGAAATCGATGGAAAAACCCGACGAGGAATGGGAAGCCCCCAAGCCCAACGAATATGTCAATGTCGTACGTTTAGCGACGTCTTTCTCGATATGGGGTTTTAGGGCGATTTGTGGTCGTGGATGCAGAACCCGCGGTGCCGTGATCAATTCGCCGTCCAGTTTGAGGACAACCACCACGTGCCTCACGTCGGAATCTACTGGCACGTCAAGGGACACGAGCCCGAAGTCGCCGATGAGGGCCAGAAACCTGTGCGTAATACTCACGCTTGTTTTTGAGTCAGAAGAGCCTTTGAAAAGTTTTCTTGCTCGTACCAAAAGATGCTCAGAAAATTTTTGGCTTTTTCCATGTCTTTTTGTGAGGTTTTTTCGTATAGCGCAAAATCGGGAAGCCGAATTTTTCTAATCTCAAGAGCAGCTGTTGATACACGGTTTTTACTAGCGGGTGCCACAGAACTTTGATCCTAAAATGTAACGTAGATGAATAATCATCTAACGGAAATTGCCGAGTTTCAAGCATTTTTCTGGTTTTTCGAATGTTTTGATTATAGAAAAAAGACCGCTGCCCGATTTTGCTGTTTTATTTTTCAGAAAATTTTGGAATTTTCTTTTCCAGAACTGGACCGAGTCCGTCTTCAAATGGACCCCATATGGCAGCTACCTGGCGACGATCCACGGCCGTGGTATAGCGTTGTGGGGCGGCCCCAAGTTCCAACGCTACCTCCGATTCGAGCACATCGGCGTCCAATACTTTGACTTTTCCCCTTGTGAAAAGTACGTTATCCTGTTCCTTTCTCTAATCTTCTTTTTAGCTTCATGGTCACGTACGCGCCGGCTAACTCGAGATGGGGCGAAGACGACAACTGCCTCCAACTTTGGGACATCCGAACAGGAGAGATGCTGAAGGGATTCTCGCTCTACGCCCTCACACTACGCAACGAGATGCCCTGCTGGCCGTTCTTCCAGTACATTTTATTGGCCTTTGCAATCTCGAATTATGAGAAATTCGTTTTATGTTGGTCGCAATATTTGATTTTTTTTCCTATGAGAGCATTTATGTCAGTAATTTCGTGGAACGTATTATATTGGCGTTTTTCGTAAGAATTTTTATAAATTAATAGTAAAAACACTTTAGAAAGCTAAGAAAGAGGTTTGTAAATCTGAATTTTGGGCTGAGGCTCTGTATTTTCGCAGTTGAAGTTCAAAAAACCTTGGAGCAACGCTAGCTCAAAGTAGATCAGAAAATCTTGTTGTTGCCCACGTCTCGCGAAACAACCCCTTGTTTAAAATCTGTAATTTTACTTTTAGATGGTCCCACGACGACAAGTACTTTGCGTGCCCAAAAGTGCCCGAGCGTGATCGTCTCGAGAAGCAAAGAAGGTCAACGGCATCGCCGTGTTCGACTCGGAGACGCTGCAGCTCGTCGGCAACCGCTACCTTGTCATCGAGAACATCAGGCAGTTCAGCTGGTCCCCTGGAGACAAGAATATCATCGCCTACTACTCTGAGGTATCGGAATTAAAGTTTTGTAAATTATCTTTCTTTTTAGGCCAGCGAACCCATCCCCGCCGAATTCGGGCTGATCAGCATCCCGTCCGGCGAAAAGCTGCGCTCGGGCCGTGTCTTCAACGTGGCGGAGGCGCAAATGTTCTGGCAAGAAAGCGGAGCACGACTTGCCGTTCATACAGTCAGGTATATTGAGTGTTTGCATGGCGTTATTTTATCTTTGTTTTTAGGTATAACAAGAAGACGATAAAAGAAAACGGCGAGGTGAAATACGTCGGCGGCGTCAAGTCCCACCTCGAAATCTTCGAGCTGTCGAACAAGAAGGACATTGCCATCATGCACCTGCCACTTTCCGAGCCGTTCATCAACTTTGGCTGGGAGCCGAATGGTACATTTTAGAGGTTTTTTAAAGACTTAGGAACGTAGGAAAAACTGCGCGCCTTTGTTGTCCTAAATTCGCTAAGCCTAATTCGTTTTGCTATATTTCTCGATATAGACATTTTTCTCCGCATCCGCTACGTTTTTCTGGTTCAGTATTTTGTTACCAGGAATGCCGGAATGCGGAAAAGGCAAAAATTATGAACACTTAAAAAGATGCAAAAAGTTAGGTTGTCAAACTGAAAATCATCGGCTTTCGATTCCAATACGGCTTTTCAGGCGACAAATTCTGCGTGCTCATCGGCAGCCAAGCCAAGGCCACCCCGTTCATCTACCGGATCGAGCCGCTCAAGCACTCGCCCGTCTGCATCGGACAGCTCGAAGCCGGCGTGTCGTTGAATACGGTGTGCTTCGCGCCGGCTGGTGGATGGTGAGGAATTTGAAATTGTAACTTTAAAATAGTGCCAAGATTTGAATTACGGCGCGAAAATGAACTGTGAATCTGAAGCGTGGACGTTTCGAATTTCCCTTGGTCACGCCCAAAATCACGTTCTGTTTTTGTATGAATAGCGACAAAAATGAGCAATTAGAAAAATCTGAAATCGGCAAAATTGGAGGTCTAGAACATTTTATTGGCATATGCCTCCCTCGTATTTCGATTCATCCGGATACCTTTAATTTCCCATTTTTAGGCTGGCAATCCTGGCCCTCGGCTCGACTGGTGGCAACATCATCTTCGTCGACACCAACGGCCAAGAGGTCAAGCGCACGTCTATCGCCGAACATCCGCTCTTCAACAAGGCCTACTGGGACCCGACCGGCCGGTACTTCGTCTCGTGCTGTGCCGTTGGCGCTCGTGGCAGCGATTTCGGCTTCCGGTTATACACGTTCCAGGTGAGAAATTTTAACATCACCAAAATTCGGCTTTAGGGCCGTGAACTTCTGCGCAAGAACCTCGACCGCATGACGCAATTCAAGTGGCGGCCACGTCCGCCAGTCAAGCTCTCCGAGCAGAAGATCAAGGAGATTCGGTTTGTCCATCCATGGAATTCCGAATGACTCTTATTTCAGAAAGAACCTGAAGACGACGTCGGCCAAGTTCGACCGCGAGGACAACGAGGAGAAGGTCAAGGCCAGCCAGGAGGTCATCGACAAGCGCCGGAAGATCATGGGCGCGTTCGACGTCATCCGCCGGCGGAATCTCGACCTGATCGAGAAGACGAAGGCCGATCGACTGCAGTTGCGCAGTATGTTTTATACTTTTTACGGATCTTTGGTGCGCAAAATCGGGGGTGGAAGAGACTTTTGTTAGGCCAAGTTTTTTTATGGAAAAGCGGGAGAGTGTCTATACCTTTTACTATTTCAAAATGTACGAATTTTTGTTTTATTAAAAATACCATGTACAATGTTTCGCCAAAATTTGACACTTTGAAGGGTGTTTCAAGGTTTTTAAAATTGTTTACGACTTGAATTTTAGCAGTTTTATCAGAAAACCTATTTATGATATAAAAGGGAACTGTTTCTACAGGTTTTTTTGCTATTTCTAAAAAGTGTACGAATTTAATTTCAGAAATTCTAAAAACAGCAACGTTTCGACTAAATTTCAATTTCCGAAAGATTTTCCAAGCTTGCTCAATTGTTTTAGGAATTTAAATTAGTTAAAGATAGCTAAATTTTAACAGGAAAACTGTTAAAATACTTTCTATTACATTACTAGTAATCTGAATTCTTGAGGAAAGGTTTTCACATCAAAAAGAATTGCAAAAACCTCCTCCGATGCTTCAAAAGATCGTGCATACATTTTCATAAATCTTTCCTTGCAGACGGCATCGACACGGAAGCGGAGGTGCACGACGACGACCTCGTGGAGGAGACGATCACGATCGCGCTCTCGACCCAGAAAACCCTGACGATCCTCTCGGAAGAGGACGAGCGCGACTAATCCATCAAATAACCGCCCCGCCATTTGTTTCTTCTTCTTCTTCTTTTTGCCTTTCCGTTGTCTCCGGTTTTGCTCTCGCTCGCTCGCTGATGTTGTCCCTTCTTTTACGGTATTTATCCCGAATTTTGGTGCTGCTGTGGGCGGGTGGGCCTCCTGAGGTCGAACTGTTGCTCCCTCTCCGCGGCTTCTGGGGGCCCACCACTTAAAAAACACGCCGGTCCCATAGTAGCCCAATTGCGTCTGTCCTGTTTACTGGTGATAAGGGTCTTGTTATTGTTTCAGACCAATAAAGTTTTATAAAGTTTACATTCGCATTCGCAATTTTGAAGATCTGATTTGGAGTATATCATATTTTCCAGGTTTTTAGACGATTTTATGAGATTACGAATGAGCAACACCTTTTTGGCCGATTTACTAAAATTGTTGCTGCACGAACGGCGTTGCTCATTTTTCATTGGCCCGATTTTTTGCTGCTGGATGCTGATTCTGCAGTGCTCCTCTATCTGTCAATCCCATTTGTCAATCTGTCGGTTATCATCTGCACCGGCTAAACGGATTGATATCGACTGGTCCACTTTTCTCAGCACAATGATATGGCCTTGGTTGCGGCAGCGAATCGTTTTATGGGTGGGGGCGACGGATGTTAGCTGGCTGATTTTCAGCGCTTTCTTATCCGCTTCTTTTTTTGCCTTATCGATTGCCTTGGACTTTCTTTTTCACTCATTCAAAGTTGTTCTCTTTAGCTTCGACTAATTTAAGCGGATTCTCACCCTTTTTTAAGTTTATAAAAGGCATCGTTACTCATAGCTTTTGCATGCTAGATCTTCATATTCTTCTGAATTCGGAGCTTTGCATAAGACAAAGTAACTCAAAAATTTACCACAGCAAGCCCTACGCAGCGCGCTCAAGCTCCTCAACTCTAGCCCAATGCTGTCCGCTTCGGTCCGTGGCGCACGTGCCCTGTAAGTGGGCTTTACTTTCTAAACTTGTTTTCATAAATATTGTATGCATTTCAAAATAATTTTTAAAGTTTAAAATGCTCGAAAAGACCCTTCATTTCTAAAAGCGCAGCTCGAATTTTTGACGAATCCTCTTTCCTATTTGATAGGCCTATTTGTCCGCTCTACCCGTCCTCCGCCTCTTCGATTCGCCTGTTTGAAGCCCCGGAAATGGCGGTGAAACTGTTTGTAGATGCGAGGGAGCGCGGCGGAGGACGGGGAACAGGAGCCGGTGGCAAAGCGGGTGAAGGGCGAGGAAAAGGCAGAGGAGTGGGCGACGGCTTCATCTATAAGAATTTAGCCTTTTAGCCTAATTTTTACAACTCTTTCCTGAATTTAGGATGTTCAAAAGTCTGTTTTATTCGGGATTGGCATATTTTTAGTATCTTCACATTTTGAAAATGACTTTCTAGCCGAGTTTTTAGCTTTTTGCTAGATCAGCCATGATTTTGCTTTTATAGTTTTAAAGCTTGGAAACTTTCGGGATTTTTTCTTAGTTTTTCCAAGGCTTTCTGTGGTCCGGAAAAGTCTGTGATGCCAATTTTAACGGAATTTGAAATGCTTGCGTTTAAGATTTGCTTGAAATTTAAAACGATTTATCTAACTTGTCTCGATTTTCAGAGCCACCCGCACCATGTCCAAATCCGTCCGCCAGGTCATCCACAGCGACAAGGCCCCCGCCGCCATCGGGCCCTACAGGTAGACGATTTGTGAAATTTTGTTGGGCCTGGTTTTTGAGATTATTATGCTACGAAATACACCTATAAACGCTGCCCCTTTTCAGCCAAGCCATCCGCGCCGGCAACACGCTCTACCTGTCCGGGTCGCTGGGCATCAAGCCCGAGTCGGGGGTGGGTTTTTGGAGGTATTTAACATTTTCATTGCGAGTTCTTCGGACCCGCAGCGTGCAGCGCACAGGCGTTGCGTGTTGCGGCAAAGTAGATAGTCGTGCCTCTCCGGCCCCTTCAAAAACCTACGTTTTTCTAGGAACTCGAGAAGGGCATCAAGGACCAGACGCACCAGAGCCTCCGCAACATTGGCGAGGTGCTGAAGGCGGCCGGCGCCGGATATGAGAATGGTGAGTACATATTTCTACATGATTTTCTTATTTATAAAGATAGAAAATTTACAAAAAATTTTTTGATTCTTTATTAAATTTAATAAGAAAAAAATTATTAAAATTTAACCTTTGCTTATCTGAAATTCTGAAAATTCATCCAATTAAAACCTTGGCTTTTCGCCCGATTAATGCCGATTTTTTCATAATTTGATGTTTGTAAAAATCTGGTAGATTTTTCTCATAAGTTTTCCGTTTGGAATCTAGGTAAATTTTCTGGAAATCTTGGTAGGAATCCTTATCGCGAAAATTGCGCCCCCCCCCCTCCCGATAATGCAAAAGATCCATAAAAATATTTGCTTCTTTTTGTAGTGGTGAAGATGACGGTGCTGCTCGCCGACATCAACGACTTTGCGACGGTGAACGAGATCTACAAGGAGTACTTCAAGGGCGACTACCCCGCACGTTCCGCGTATCAGGTAGACTTTTGATTCCATTTTTAAAGGCCATTGAAGCCTAAATCCATAGAAAATAGAAGGTTTTTCAAATTGATTTCCCTTGTTGTAGGTGGCCGTCCTGCCGAAGCAGGCCCTCGTCGAGATCGAGGCGATCGCCGTCGTCGAGTGAAACGCCTAGAATTTTTGCTCTCTCTCTCTCTCTCTCTCTCTCTCTCTCTCTCTCTCGTTACTTCCATCTCTCTCGTTTCTCTGTTATTAATTGCCATATCGCGCACCACGTTGTGTCGGTTCATTCCAGAATTGTCGAAAATTCCCTGTTCATCTCCCTGTGCGTGTAGTTCGATTTGTTCGTGTAGGGTGGATAAAGCGTTCAGTCTATTTTTTTCAGTTTATTCGACTTTTTTTGGGTTTTTTTACTCATCTAACATTGTGAAACATTGGCTCAAATACCAAACTGGAAAAAGCAGGGGGGATGGTCCTCTAGAAAACCAATCTAGAAGACCAATCACCTTAAAGCAATGGAAGCATATACAAGGATTCTGCACTCAGCCTGATAGTAGGAGTGATTTTTAGCAAAGTCAAAGGTAGAAGGCGTCAGTATAAAATCATTTGAAAGTCTAGTTATCGTATTCAACATCCAGGGTCGTATGTAATATTTTCAAAAATCTCCATTTCGTGCTTACCCGGGCCCATATTATGCGCGTGTGGCTTTGGCTTTACTCGGAGATACCCGTAAGAATTCCGAAAAATTGGCCTAGAAAATGAGAAAACACTAAAAGCCTAAAAATTTACGATAGCGTACAAAAAGCAAAATTTTCCAGGGCTTATTTTGGTACTTTGCGCGGTAAAAAATTTAGACTACGTTCGTTTGAGCTACAATTAAAACTCTTCGCATATTTTTCGATTCTGTATCGAATGCCGTTGAAAAAAAAAGTCGAAAAACGAGCTAGGGGTCCAAAAAGGGGGTGTGGACCTCTAAAGCGCCCATTTTCCGGCGCATCTGAATCCAAAAATCGCTTTTCACGCTTAGCAGGATAAGCGCACGTAACGTAACCCGCCACGCATGTAACTAATTTGCCGCCATGATTCCCAAAATTCGCGCGCGTACCCCGGGCAAAACCGCAGCCCCACACGTGCATCATTCTGGGCCCCGCGGCCAAATTAGGGAGGCTCGATTGGGTCTGCGTCGGCACGGATCTTGCGAATGAACGCATGAAATGATTCTGAAAATGAGGAATTGCTAAGGTGTCGTAATCGATTGGCCGTACGCCAAAATTCGACAGAAACAGCGAAAAACGAACCTTCACTTGTTGGCTGCTTGTGAACCTCGTCGTATTTTGTCTGAAAATTGTAGGATTTAATGGCTAAATTACAGAGTCAATTCGTTTAGTAATTGTCGGAATAAAATAGCCGATTTTAAATATCAGGCGTTCAAAATGTCATTTCAAATTTATAGTAACTCTTATTTAGCGTTACGAAATGAGAGTTACTCTTGGATGACGCGTCTAGAATCAAGGACTCACGTTCATCAACTGCAAATATTCCTCTTTTAAGCATTCAGCAGCGCTAGGTCTCAGTTTCGGATCGATGGTGAACATCTCTCCAACAACTTCACCAAGTTCTGAATTGTCAGTGGACCTCGGCCATTCTCAAGTCGCTTTTTGCGGCAGCTCGCTTGGTAGACGAGTTCGTGCTGTTGGTTCGGATCTGAAAAGCTTTGAACGAGATGCTATGTCGTAATCGGATAAGCTTAAAAATAGTAGTGCCCGATTTTCTGGCCACAGCGTTCAGAGCCATACGAAAAAGGTTCGTCGAGCGGGGACAGGATGGAGAGGGGGTCTCGGCACTCTCGCCCTCCCTCTGGCTGTCTGCCCCCACCCCCGCGCGTTTGAATCATAAATGGTGTGTACGAAAGATTAGCCCGGCTGTCTGCTATCGCGCGCCCCACCCCTCCCCTGCCTGTCTGCCCTCGCGTCTGCGCTCTAGAGCGCTCTGCATCCTGTACCCAGGGGGGCCCCTTTTCTGAACCATGTGCTGGCGCAATGAATTGGTTCATTCTGGCCAAAAAACCCAGGTTGATTTTATGTCGTAATCGGTTTGACCTAATTTTTCCAGAAATAGAGCAACAGCTCGATTTCATGCCGTAACTGATCATTTCGCCGCGTTTTTTATCGTGTAATCGGCTAAACCTTACCCGGCAAATTCCATAGAGTAATTCGTTAAACGTTACAGTTCATCGTTAGTTTTTGAGCTTTACCTACCGTCTTTGCGGATACTGTTCCATCATCGCTGGCGCGCAAACGTGATATATCCTCTTCAGCACGTCCTGTTTAATGCTTTGCGGTGTCCAGCCGGCCGGGTAGAACAGCTTGACGCCGAGCATCTCCACTGCTGTGGCTGCTGTTGACCAAATGTCGACTGAAAATGCTTTGTAAAGCTTTCTCTCTCTCTCGTTCTATCCCTCTTTTTCTCTTTCTCTTTCTCTCTCTCTCTCGCTCTCTCTCTCTCTCTCTCTCTGGCTCTCACCTTTTCGATCATGTTGCTCCCCAGCGAGCAGTTCAGGTGCTTGATAGATGTAATCGCGGCTCGGATCAATCCTATTCAGCGCATTATCCACCTTTTTCACGCATCCAAAATCAATGAGTTTGATGAGGAAACCATTTTGATTGACGCCAACGGCGCGGGGTTGGATTTCCTAAAAAACTTGAAAATCGAAGCATTCTTCGAAACTTGTATTTTCTGAACGCTTTAAGGGACCAGACGAGGAATTTAGCTGGATTTTATTGGCTAATTTCCCGACGCATCTTGCCAATCCCGCGGCACGCAACGCGCAGGAGACGTGCGGTGCGTGTCACGCGCGCGCCAAGATGCATAGGAAGCCCATAGCCAACAAAATCCGGGTGGATACCCTTTTTTGTTCCAAACGGGTCCCGCCGCGGCCAAGATCGCGATCGGGCTACGGCAGGTGTCTAGAGTTGAGCCCGGAAAATTGGTGTCACGCTCCCTTTACAAGCCCGAACTCACGCGATGGGTGATGTCTTGCTCCTCAAGGTACAATAGTGCTTTCAGAATCTGGACCAGTAGCGCGGAGAGAAGTCGATGATCACGGAGACGCTCCTTTGGGGAGCCGTCCTGCTTCGAGATGTGGCTGAAAACTGGCGATTGAGAGAGAGAGAGAGAGAGAGAGAGAGGGAGAGAGGGAGAGAGAGAAAAAAAAAAAAAAGAGAAGAGAGAGAAGAGAAGAGAAAAAAAAAAAAAAAAAAAAAAAAAAAAAAAAAAAAAAAAAAAAGAGAAAGAGAGAAAAACTTACGCATAATATTTGTCCAAAGAAAAATCCATCCTCTCTCTGACAACGTAGAAGAAAATGGGCTTATGATCAGCATCTTCTTCCCAGAAACTTGTCACGTATCTGACGATCTAAAGCAATAACTCAAATGAATTAGCGAAAATCAGAGTATATGAAATTTAAACTGTAACAAAATTTAATTTTTATAGACCGTTTAAACCGTCTATTAAAGGGCACGTTCAGGGACGTTTTTTTTGGAAAAAAGCAAAGGTTTTTGCCGCGGCCGGGGTTCGAACCCGGGTCCCCCGCTCGGGAGGTGCGGATGGTTACCGGTCAGCCACAGCTACAACCTGGCGAGGGGGCGTGGGGCGCCCCACGCCGCAAAGGAGGGGAATTGCCTCCCACGGCACGGGCAGACCGTGCGCGCGGTCCCCACGTCCATAGGGTGCACACGTTGGGACGAGTACACGGCCCATCCCTGAACGTGCGCTTTAATGCTTATATGACTCACGTGATGGTGATTCAGCGCCCTGCAAAGCATCAATTCCCTCATTGTTTTTCCATAGTCATAATCGTTAAATTGAGTCACATCATAGCGCTTGATCACGACACGTTCGCTCTGTTTTGCGGTCATTCGCGTAGCGGCTCTGAAATTTGACGGTACCCTGGGTATCAAAGAAACTGGTAATTGGGACGTACTTTAAAAATTAACTTTGGCTTTTTCTGATTTTTAACGCTAATTTTACCTGATTAAAAAAGGAGTTTCTGCATTTTTATGTAGCCTAGAAAAATTATCGATTTCCGAATAAAAAAATAAAGCAAGAAAAATTATTAAAGTTCGAATTCCCGCTAAAATTAGCTCATTTTTGTATTGCGCTCAAAAAAACGAGGTTTTTGCCATTTTCGGCTGGATTTCGCTACGTTCAAATTAATTTAACGCAATTTCTGGCAGATAAATTAAAGTATTACTGTATCCGCTCCACATCTCGAATCTCCAAAAATTTAACGTTCCCCATATAGGGGGCATTCGAGTTCAAATCGATTTGCAGCGTGGATTTTGAAGTCCCAGGAACATCCATTTTTTAGGAGGAAAGAATAAGGGGAGGGAGTGGTCAGCAAATGAGAAGAAGAATAATCACCCTCTCCGGATGGAGCCGGCAAATTTGGTCCAGCAACAAAATTCAGGAGTGGGCAGAGGGGGTGGGTGGTGGTGAGAAATCGATTTTTGAATACGTATCCGAGCGTAGATACCAGCTACGAAATACTACTGATAACGGTCTATAGGCTGGGCAGTGGAAAGTCACGAAATTGGCTTTACCTGTTCGCTACGGTAGCTTGGAAACTTGGCAAGAACCCACTTTTTTGATTTATAAAATTTCCGAAAGCGCAGATTACGGTTGACTACGGTACCATACGCCTGATTACGGTGGTGCAGAGGTACAATTGTTTTTGCATTCGGATAGTTTCCAATTTTTTTTGGTTCATTTTTGTTGCCGTCAAGGATTTTACAGGGCAAGCAATACGAGGCTTTTCACCTAATTTTTTTTGTTTGTCGACGTCGCCCTTGATATTCGTTGCGGGACCCTGCTTTAAGATAACCGCAGTGCGGAATCGCTTGAGGAATATTCTTGCAGCAAGAGTTTTCAGTTTTTACGGTTGATAAGGAGGGTCGCCAAGTTTTTCCCCGTCAACATGATATGAAAAATACCAAGGAGCGTGATTACTGTAGTTGGCCATTGACCTAATTATGACGACGATTTTCTGGCAACCAACGCCCCTTTAGAATGCTTCGTTTTAGGATTAAACTCACATTAACGCATTCTGGCCAGACACTTCAATCGTGTGACAGTAATTTTCTGGGGTACTGGCCGCTCGCGATACTTGATCCTGAAAGGATATAGGATTAGACAGAGAGAGAGAGAGAGAGAGAGAGAGAGAGAGAGAGAGAGGGAGGGAGGGAGAGAGAGTGAGACCCGACCTGCAAATCTGGCGAATACTCTTCAGGCAGCCGAATATCAAAGCTAATCGTGTTCGTCGAGTCCACGACTCTAGTCATCAGCTTTTCAGGCTCATCATTTCCTTCCGCTCCTTCGAATTCCTCAGCTCCCCAGCTAGTTACACTATATCTTTCGTCGCAATCCGCCTCATCTCCGTCCGAGCCTGCCGGTTCGCGAAACTGTCCCAGGTCGGGCTTCTCGCGTTTCGGCTCGGGCACAGCGGATGCGCACTAAAGATGGTATAAATTGTATAACCTACAACTTGTGTTAATCCTTCTTTATTGCCAAGAATACTTGCTAGCGACTTTAAGAGCATCAGCAAGTCGTTACCAAAATTTTTAGATAGCCTGCCTTGTTTCTACAATCGACCTCTACCATGGGATAGCTCCCGACTGGCCACGCCAAGCGTAAAAATAATAAAATAAGCGAGAACTGGGACCACAACGGCATTTTTCTACACAAAAATAGACGAAAGCTAGCTAGAAGCGGCGCTGAACGTGGAGAGCTAGTCAATGGCAGGGTCGATTTTGGCGCTTCCCTTGCTCTTAAAACCTACACCTAATTTGGCTCACCTCTGGTCTGCGGTCCGACGGCCTGAGCGGCGAGGCTGGGGTGGGCCTGAACTTCCCATCCATAAGTTTTTTAAAAATCTCGTCGGTTCGACTTGTTTTCGTCGATGCGGTGGATTCGCCTGTGTTCTCGAGGGTAGCATACGCCTCATCCTCGTCCATCTGCTCCACCTCGCATTTGATGTCTTTTCGAAGGTGATCATTCAGCTTAGAAGTTAATGCCCCGGCAAAGGTAGCGTCAGAGACTGCGCGACTGTTTGACGCGACGGTATTCTTTTGGGAAGTTGGCGGTTCAGCCTCTTCTTCACTTTCTAGCCCTCGGTCGTCTTCCTCAATATCTTGAATTCGAACATTTGCTGAGGTTTTCAGCAAGGCGCTTGGAATCGAATCCCCGAGCCCAGAATCTGTCGTCTGCCCAAGTGGGTCAGAACAACGGGCCATTGCGACGTCGTCGTCGTCGTCCATAACCACGCCAACGACCTCCAAATCGTCATCGCGCTCGGGGATCACACCGCGCGTTTCTGGCTTCGCCTGTTGCCCCAATTCCGAGCTGGCGGTGTTCTCCCGCGAGGCAGAAGCCGATTCAGGGTACTGCGCGACAGCGACAGTGCCCCTTTCGTCATTACCCTGATTCAAATATGCCTTTTCTAGCTTCTTGAGGCGCTGCGCAAAATCTTCCGGCCAGCCCGTCTGCTTTTCGCACACCATTTTTGTGTCGCGCGCTGGTTCCGAGCTCTTGACCGTTTCATTTGCCGCCGGCCAAGTTTGTGGTACCTGCCTGTATGCTCCACCGTCAAATATGCCAGGGAGGCTACCAAGGTATTGGTACTTATCTGGTATCGGGGGAAAATCAGATTGATTCATCAAATTGTTCGGGGGCTCGCGCAATACATGCTTCTGAATTCCAGCCATTTGGGACGGCAGCAACGTCTGTCCTCGGTGAGGATCCGCGAACTTCACAACGCTCTGAAACATTCCGTTTATAACGAATTCGCCGGTATTTAAAAAGCCCGGTTAGGCTTGTGTATGAATTTAGCTAGATTCCATATGGCCCGCGGTAGGCAGCCCGTAGTACGCAACGCGCTGGGCCGCTTGGAAGCCATCGATTACGCAATCAAGGGGTACAAATTTTGCGTATCGCGTGTATGGCAGCAAAATTTTTAATTTAGCCTTGTCCGCCATTTAATAGCGTAGGCAAGGTACGCTGGTGAATTTTCCTGGCTAAGGATTCGCCGTGGACTTTGCCGTGACCGCGGAAATGCAACGCACAGCCCTGCGCCTCCAGTGTGCCACGCAACGTTACGCCCGACAAACAGTCAACACGCTTCATAGTGGTGACTGGTACATCCCTTGAAGGTTACCTGTGGCTAGTAGGGCAACCGGCAAAAGCAAAAACGAGCAACTCACATAGTCGGTCACATTGTTGATGCATTCTTGTGATCCGTGCTTACTGCGGCTCATTCTGATTTCGACGAGTAGAATGTTAATTATCTAGAACCTTGATGATTAATTGGAAATCAGGACCAAAAGACGAAAGCTCAATGGAAAACTATGGCTCGAATTTCCTCCGCAAGAAATTTGGGGTAAAAATTGTATGGTCGAAGAAGATAGGGAAAAGAGCGAAGAACGTAGAGAGCGGAAAAGAGGAAGAGAGGCGCAGACACCACACTGATAACACAGTTGCGCGGCGCGGCGCAACTTTGGCCAACCTTCTACGCTACGCGACTTTTGAACCCTGGTTGGCATTAATCGCGCTCTATGCAATTTTGCCAACGGCTCTAGTGAGTTTTAACACTGCTTTCAACCCCCTTAACGTTTTTTGCAAAACTCATTTTTGTGAGAACGACGTGGGAGCGTTTAACCTCAATTAAACGCGGCTCGTCGAGCTACGCAAAAATCTACAGCCTTACTGCCGAATTTTCACGCAAAAATCAACTATAATAATTTTTTTGAGGTCCCTGTCTGAACCCGAATTCAACTCGAAGGAGGAAGTAGCTGGAGCTTAGGTCTCTTCGGATTCGGATAGAGCGCGGTCAGAAACCCCTCAACTGATAAAAAATTATGAAAAAGTTTTCGTTTAAATCACTAAATTTAACTTTGAAAGTGGCGCCTTAGTAAAACCAGCTGGGAACGGACGTTTGCAAGACTTTGGACATAGTGAGCCAGGTCGCGAGCGTTTCGGCGGGGGGTACGTAGCCCGAAGTCCAACCGTTTGCAGCGGCAAAGCGCTGTAAGCGGCTGGTATTTTACAGAACCTGTGACATTCGCTTCACCTTTGGGAAAAGCAGCAGTGCAAAAAATGCCAAATGCGTAAAAAACTCAACCTTTCAAAACTGGATTTCATTATTATTTGACAAAAACGAAACTCTTTTCAGGTTCTTGTAAATGTCAACAATACTACATTGACGGCCAGCTAATCAATTCGCTAAGCAGAATTCAGCGGCGAAAAGGTACAGTAGCCGTCCAGAGGAATTGTACAAGCCCTCAACAATTTTTGACGCAAGAAAATGAGTTGGGCGCGGCCCGCATTCACTGCCAATTTCTTGCAGCAGAAATCGGCTAGCTGCCACCGTGAACAAAAAGCCATGGCACAATTCCAACAAATGCTGTAAAAAAAATTATTATTAGAGCCGTAAAGATAAGATAACGAGCACATCTAGTCAATCACTATTGGGAATAGGTGATATCTTCCTGGTTTTTGCCAAAAATCGTAGCAAAACCCATCGATTTTGGGTTGATTTTCTTGTGCAAGACATTTGCCCCGTGCGGGCAGGCGCTCTCTCAATTTGCCCCACTCACTCCCCCGGTCTCTAACCAAAGAGCCTTGATCGTCCCCCAAAGCTTGCACAAGGGATACACAAGCGCTTTTGCGAAACTGACATTGAAAGGGACTAAATGGAAAGGCATCACAAAAGTACCTTTGAAAGCTAGCAAAGCTGATCTTACCGGCGAAAAAAAAGACTAGAATTTGTCAGTTCTTCAATGGCAAAAATCCATTCTGGAACTTAAGAAAGCAAATTTCGACTGACCAAAATTATTTCTTCGAAAAACCAGGAAATCCAAAACAGTTTAATCCGAAAATTAAATGCTCTTGGAGGCGTTTTACCTGGGTCAACCAAATTTAACCAGCAAAATAAATCTTTGGATATAAAAGTTTGCCGCCTAAACTAGGTATGCCCAGGCTTATGCGAAATAATTTGCAAAAAGCTCGCATCGGAGCGACACGTACGAAAACTACGTGGTCAAGCGGTGCGCTGTCTTCCAGATAACGCCTCACAAAATTATATTAACGCGCTTGGGGCCCGGAATTAAGTAAGTTAAGTACTTGCGTTTTCGCCGGAAAGAGAGAGAGAGAGAGAGAGGGGAGAGAGAGAGAGAGATAGAGCGAGACAGAATGAGAGATAGAGAGCTAGAGATAGCCAGGAAGATGAAAACAATGAAAATTCCAGCAACACTTAAAAACGTCGATGATGAACTTCGAACTTCGATATGATGGCCCATAAAAGTGGCACTTGCGCGCTACTGGTCCAGAAAGTCGTGACGCGTCTTGTTTTTGCGTGCGAGCTGCCTGAAAAGGTGAAACTTGCGATAGTGCTGGCGATTCTTGAGCTATCCCCAGCTTTTCCTTGAAATTAAACGATTTCATAGCCACGATAGCGCAAAATCGGCCCGTGAATGGGGGTTGGACGAGGGTCTAGGTGTGGAAAATTGCGTACTTTAAGCCTCGACTTCAGGCTCGATTTCCCCACCCAAAATTTCAACTTCGTTGCTTTCGCTCTTTAATATTTCCGGCTCTCACTGATGCACTTCGAACGGGCAGCTAGCCGTTTAAGCTAGTTTTTAAGGAAAAATTAATAAATTTTTAAATTCGGCGGCGGCGAGGGGTCGAAATCATGCGACCGGGCGCACCAATCCATTTGATAAGGCCTCAAAACACAAAGGGCACACAGTGACCACTAGTATCGAGGCTTTCGATGTCAAATGGCATTTTTGTTCGAAGATGCCGTACCGCTGGTAAGGTCTTCGTAACAGGTAAGGGTTAGCTTTATCAGACGCAGCTGACGCGTCAGGAACCATAATCCTGAAAAGTGGTTGTAGGATTGACCCACGGTGCGTATCATAATGATTGGAGAGCCGGACTTCCCCTTATTTTCTCGGCCTTGTGGGGTATGCGTCTGAGGTGTTGTAGCCCGGAAAAAGACACATCTCTTGGTCTACTTGAGATCCCTCCAGGTTGCTTAAAGGGGTCCTTCTGATTAGTTGAATAAGTATAGGCGAAACAAGTCGCAAATTAGAGCGCAATCAATGGCGAGGTTAGGAAGTCTGGTTTCTTGTGTGCGGCGATCGAATCTGCGTAAAAAGGAACCTGGAAATTGCTTTCGAATCTGGTCAGACAATTTTCGAAAACCGGTATTTGCTCTGAATTTTAGGCTCTATCAATCGCAAGAAAAAGACAGAACTGTCTTTCCAAGCTCGTCGCAACAATTCTA